CGACAAGCAGAAGACGGCATACGAATCGCGTGATATTCTTAGAGGTTCGCGATTTGATAAATTTGTCAAATTTTTGTCAAATTTTAGGCAAAAAGTTATCTTATATGCGTTATACCGACGTTATAGGATGACGACGTGGCGGCTGTTAAAGAAGGCGCGCTGAGTATTCATCGTCTTCGTCGTTGCATGGACGATCCTCACGCTCGCGAGATCACGACACTGAAGATGGAGATTCAACAAATCATGAAGGGCAATTACGACTACTTCATGCAGAAGGAGATTTTTGAACAACCGGAATCGGTGGTGAACACTATGAGGGGTCGTTTGAATTTTCAAGATAACTCAGTCACTTTAGGCGGAATTAAAGTAACTCTTGCAAACGATTTTTCGCAAGTGTTTAAAAAAAAGAGTCTAATAATGAATAGAATACCTTTCTTTCAGGATTACATTCCAGAGATCAAAAGATGCAGACGTCTTATGCTAATCGGTTGCGGTACGAGCTACCATTCTGCCATAGCTACGCGACAGCTTCTCGAGGAACTGACAGAATTGCCTGTGATGGTTGAGCTCGCATCCGATTTTTTGGACCGCAACACGCCAGTCTTTAGAGACGACGTCTGCTTCTTTATTTCTCAATCGGGTAAGACTTGCGACGAAACTATTAATGCAGAATTACATATAATAAAATGGAAATGTGATAAATAAGCAGATGAGAAAAGAGATTTATAAGAATTTGACAAATAATACCTCTTTAATACGACTGAAAAATTACTGGGTTGCGATTGAGTATTATTGTATTTCTTGTAATGGCAATAGGTGAGACGGCTGATACGTTAATGGCACTACGTTATTGTAAAAGTCGTGGAGCTCTTATTGTTGGTATAACTAACACAGTCGGAAGTAGTATCTGTCGTGAATCTCATTGTGGGGTGCATATCAATGCTGGTCCCGAGATCGGTGTAGCAAGTACTAAAGCTTACACCTCGCAATTCATCTCTCTCGTCATGTTTGCACTAGTAATGAGTGAGGACAGAATCTCTCTTCGCGCGAGACGTTTACAAGTACGTTATTCAATATTTTTTACTTTTTTTTTCTTTATACTTAAACTTATACGTATTTTTATATTTTTAGTAAAATATAATTAATTAAATCTTATATACGCATATTTTCTAGATTATCGAAGGATTGAAAAATCTCGGAAATCTTATTCGTGAAGTATTGAAACTCGATGAGAAAGTTAAAGAGTTAGCCAAGTCTTTATTCCAACACAAATCCCTGTTGATTATGGGTCGCGGATATAATTTTGCTACGTGCATGGAAGGTGCACTCGTAAGTAGGCGATAAAAAAGTAATAAACCTCTTTGCAATTAATGTTGCTGTAATCAACTCTTACATATACTTGCAGAAAGTAAAAGAATTGACATATATGCATAGCGAAGGAATTATGGCCGGTGAATTGAAACATGGTCCGTTAGCCCTCGTTGACGATTCCATGCCGGTAATTATGATCGTAATGAGAGATCCAGTGTACGTGGTAAGTTTAAATGAGTAAGTTTAATATTCGAGAGAGCGAGAGCGAGAGAGAGAGA